CAAAACTCTACACAATTTTTATAAATCTTTATATATTCATCTATATATTACGTTACTTAAACGAAAGCTTCGATGACTTGGGTTCCGCTTTTAATTTTTTATAGACTCAAAAACAAGTCCAATTTGTTTTGCTTCGCAATAGCTCGCAGCTTTTGCTAAATTAAGGATCAACATTAAGCCAACATCAGAATTCATTTAATTCGCGAAAAGAGTTGGGACATCAAACTTATCGGCCACTGAGCAAAAATCAACAACAATTATTCAGTTGGAAATGCGGCGCGGTCGTAAAAAGTGCCAAACAATGCGAAAATTTTATGAGCTGCCCAGGCTCCCTCCTCAGGCAAAGTAGCTCCAAGCAGCTCCAATTCCTTGGCTGCATTTCATTTGTTTCACCAATACACACATAGAGAGAGAGTGAGAGAGAGACCGATATCCTAGCGATTCGTTTGACTGCCGCTTCACCTGCATTTCCTCCCAGGAATCGCAATAAATGCATAAGTTTCCATTTAACGATATTTTGTTACCGTTTCGCACACCTTCTGGTCGTCGTATAAAAACGTGAAATGTTTTCCATTTTCATTTCATTTTCCGCTTTTCGTTGAATACCAGTGTGTGTGTGTGTGTGTGTGTTTGTTTGTTTGTGCCAAGCCAATTTTCTTCATCTCTGAATTGTTTTCAGCATTTCCCTCGCAATCCATTCACGAATGTGTCGCCTCAACAAAATAAAATTTAGTTAATTATATATACTACCTATAGGTACATATATGCAACTGAATGATCTTGGCTGTCAGCCAATGTGGCAACAAATCGTTAAGGCTTTGACGGCATAAGCACTTAAAAATCTGCGGCATTAATAATTTTCTATATACAATATGTGACATGGATATTTAAAACTTTATATATATATACGTTATACAATATATAGATTAATCTACATATACTGCCATCTTTTTCTATCTCTATATATATCTGATTTTTTAACTTCGTAATATCACATTGATTGACTGATGCTAAAAAGTTAATTATAATCTTGGTAAATACTTGAGAATATAATTCAGTGATGGACTAACTAATTAATTTAATCTAACCACTAACTGCTACTACTAACTGCTTGATTGATGAATAGGTATAATAGGTAAAATTCCAAAAAACTTACAGACTGATTGATCGATCTTCACCTAACTGACTGACTAATTGAATTGATTGAATATTTTGCTAGATTAAATTATAGATTTTTTTGTTTATTTAACTGCTCAGTACAAAATGATTAATTGATTACAATAGTTGACTGAGTGACTGATTGATTGACTGATGAAGTGACTGATAAATGATATTAGTAATTCAGTTTCGTGACAGGCTGACTGCTCTGACTGACTGACTGATTGAATGATTGATACACATCTTTTTGCCCGGAGCAAGTTAGAAGTTTAAGCATCAACAAACTAATTGATTGATATTGATTGATGTCTTCATTATAATACCATGGGAACATTTTTGTTAATTCTGTTAATCTATCATTAATTTTCTCTTTTAAGGCTGCACAACTTTGTATCGCGCGAAGATCAGCCCGTAGTACATAAAGCAGCATATCCTTAAATTAAGATATATATATTTACTCTGCAACAATAAATCTCATACATTATTTTGTATGTATTTTGTGCTTTTGTGTTGTCGCACAATTTCCGCTGATTTCTAATTTCCGTTGAGTCGTCATTAAAAAAAAAAAAGAAAAAAAAACGAACTCAAACAGCAAATCCCTTATTTTTTAATGCCCTGCTCCTCAGTCATCAACGCCGAGCGTCATGGGGCCCCGTCCTCGAGGTCGGGGCGGACCATAATAAATGCAATGCTTGCCATAAAAATCAAAATAAAAATGAAAAAAAAAAAAAAAAAAAAAAAAAAACAACTTAAGAATAAAAAAATACAAACAGAAGAGAAGTTATAGTTTTTGCGAGCGAGTTTCGAAGTTTCAGTTTCAGCTTACGCTGCTCAAATTTCGTCCCGTACACCCCTCTCCGCCCTCCACTCCCATCTAGAATATTATTCGGCTTGTGTTTATTGTTGTTCGCCTTTTTCGTTTGGTTTGCGTGTTGGGCGCTCTCCGGTTTTTATGGTGCCGCGTTACGCCGTTTTTTGTTTTGTTTTGTTTTTAGTGGACACGCATTATTAAAAAATAAACAATATGTATATGATGTGAGAGAGTAGCTGCCGAGGAGACGCAGTGCCCAGTGGCGAACCCAGAACCAAAACCAGCGACTCGAGTAAAACGCGCCTGCCCCGCCCCGTCCTGCAGCACTCGTTCAGCTACTCAGTTTTCAGTGGAAAATTTTTGTGGCGATCGTAAAAAGTTGAGTCGAGCAAATAAACAGAACGAGTGTCGAGTACTGCCTATGAAATAAACAACGAATGAAGTATACTCTATAAAGAAAACTGAGAGCTGAAGCTGATGATAGAAGGACAAATATGGCATTTGATATATTATCCAAATTAATTATTTGTTTGAGCCAATCGCTATCAAGTATAATCCAATTATTCATATGCAAATATGTATATAATATATTAACATGTTTTCTAGTACATGTTAATGAATGTATAAAATGCTGCGCTTATCTTAATCATTTTCATGTGAACTTCATTATATTTTCATTGTTTCAGAAACAACTTTAAACATAAAATATTTATTTAAGATTTAGCTCTAAATTAGTGAATATTTTATATTATTTCCAAGTTATATATATTCATATACATATGTATATTAAAATATAAACCATACGTATGACCTTAGGTACCCCAAGTCTATGAAGGGTATCCAAGCACTAATAACTCAATTGGTACTTGTCGGGCAGCTCAAGAAAAGGGCCATATAGAAGGGGAGTTGATATAAATCAATAGAATTAAATAGAATAGAAGCATTCGCTAACAAGAAAGCACACAATAGATCATATAGTACTTATTCTTTTGTGCAGACATTCGATGCAGTTGGAGTGGTTTTCAATGTTCATTCAGACATTCATTTGCAATTAGTTCAACGGCGACAATTGAAAATGAGCCGTGGTCAAAGTTGATGGCTGATACGGCTGTGGCTGCTGCTGCTGTGGCATTATCTTAAAGTGCATCATAAAAATCACATTTGGCATTATAAAAGAAGTAAGAAAAAACAAAAAGCAAAAAAAAAGTGAAGAGTGGAGATAAATGCAGCTGCGCCTGGAATCAGATATAAGCCAAGCGAAGCCAAGCCATGGGCAGCCTGGACGTCGTCCTGTTCCGTCTTCGCTTTGCTATAAAATTTGGTTTTACGAGCTGCTTCGCGTTCTCATTTACCTTCTCGTCCTGCTGGCCCAGGTGAGCTCTGGCGAGGATTGTGTGCTTTGGCATTACAATGATTTTAATGCCTTTTATGGGCCAGAGCAAGAGACATTGCACCCATATGGGCACGCCGCTGGGATTATGGGATTATTCGACAGGGCGCTCGTTACCATTAAAAATGGTTTTATGCCCCAAGACTCGGCCATACCAAAAAACTAAAAATCATATATTGAATTTTAAGTTAATTGCTAAGCAGGCAGGCCCCTCGAGCTTATTTCCCTTTTACGATTGTACGTTTCAACTAATACATTTCGCCCATTTCTCTTCCACTCTTCCACACTTTAGCGATAATTAATTAACAACTGGCTGACCTTGGAGCCCGGGCGACGATCTTTCAACTGAACTCGACTACAACTCCTCCGTGGTATAGATCTATGAAAATAATATTAATATTAATAATACTTATAATTATATTCATTATTATATGATAAACCCACACACACACACACACACAGACATCGTTTTGCTCTAACTTAAGCTATGACATGCATGCAAATATGATAGCGAAATCTGTAATACCCTGTAAGAGCAGAGGTACTCCAGCCTAAAGAATATATATTCAACTTGATCTCAACTTAAGTGTGAAGCAAAGGTAATCAAAATCATTAACAAATACATACATATATAAATTATATAAACAGAGTATAGTGAAAGCTCTCTAGGGCGAACGGGTAAGAAATCACGGCAAACTGGAAAGACAGTTATGAGCGTATATATAGAAATATTCAAATTTAAATGTTTGTTGTAAATTTTTTTGTATATAACCTTAATAAGAAAAAAAAAACAATTTTTCTTTAATGTATTTTATTAAATTTGAAAAAGGAAGGACTATAAGGCAACTTTTCATAATGTTCGCTCTAGGCAACTTTCACTGTACTTTTGCATAATAATCTGAGAGCGTTGTTAAATAATCAAGACTTCTTAATCCGAGCAATCACACACACAACTTAATGATATCCTAGTCCTAAGTCCTGGCACCACAGCATAGAAGAAGCACCGTTTAATAGATTTGAAGAACATTTGGATAAATAATATTATATGTGCATAATACTTGATATATGAGATTACAAAAGCTTGCAGCAAAAAATATTTACTCTAATTTTAAAGACGAAATTTTACATTTCTATTATTGTTTTATTTCTAGTAATAGTTGTACCCATCTCAACAAAATGTTACATTTCCTTGGGCTGTGCACTGTCGTGTTGGAAAGGAAAGCAGGCAGTTATCAATTACATAATTCCTTTCTTCTTTTTTTTTTAACTTTAAGTAATTTGTTAAGTTAGGTTTTTACAAAACATATATATAAATTAATATAATATGCGTATTTGATTGTGTGTGCGTGTGCGTGTTACTTAAGATTGACATGAACCAAAAAAGTTATGCTATTCAAATTGTAGTTGAATTTCTCAATCATTTCTTTTGTATTTGCTTAAATAAAAGAATTTGCTTTCATCTAAGTAAATCAATTAAACAACTAAATAATTAAACATTAAACACTTAAATTTAAATGCAACTCACAAATTGTATCTTAGCTTAGGCCTAAATGCAAAAATCATAAATCAATTTTAAATGCTTCAAAAATAAAAGTTTCAATTGAATAAACCAAATTCGTTTCGCTGTAAATCAAAATAAAAACGTTTGCCGATACTTTTATGGATTTTCAGTTTTTGGAATGCCTTATAATACCCAGCATTCGCTTTACATGCCAAAGAGACCCTTGAGATCGTCAATGGTCAGCTTGGTGCTGACCTTGCCGGTTAGCACGCCATCGGCCAGCTCAAGCTTGCGATCCTGCAGTGCTTTGATGCGCTGCTCGACGGTGTCCACGCATACAATCTTGTATATGATCACATCTTTCTTTTGGCCAACGCGGTAGATGCGATCCTGAGCCTGTGCCTCCAACTGTGGGTTCCAGTGCAGATCGAGCAATATCAAATGATTGGCACCAATCAAATTGAGTCCAACACCGCCAGCAGTCAAAGAGAGCAATAGTATGCGATTCGAGTTGTTTGGATCGTTGAAATCGTTAACAATATCCTGACGATTCTTGACGGGAATGGTGCCATTTAGCGACAATGACTTTAGCTTCTCCTTCTCCAGCAGATCACGAAAAATGTCCAATACCGATGTCCATTGGGACACAACGATAGCTTTGTCCTTGGTCTTCAGCACGTTTGTCTTCAGTATCTCCAGCACCTTCAGCAATTTGGTCGATGGACGCTTCAGGTTGAAAACCGGATTGCTGCGCTTCAGCACATTCTGCGAGGCCTTGGCAATACGCATATCGTCGCCACTGCGCCTGCCCTGGCTGGAACGACGCGATCCGGTTGAGCTGCTGCTATCATTAATGGTCATCTTGTTGAGCTGTGCCAGCAAATCGATTTCCGGTGCATAGCTGTCGCTCTCATCGTCCATTTTGCCAGTGCCCTCCTCTTCCAACATCTGCATAGGAAACCAAAGATAATCACACAGAACCACATGATTGAAAACACAAGATTTACCGAGTCTATGAGGCCAGGATGACAGCATATCTGTCGAAGGCGCAGCAGCAGCACCAGAATCTCATGTGACTTCACCTCCTTGTTGTGGCCAGCCATGCGCGAGAATTTCTCATGCATTTTATAGTAGGCGCCATTTGGATCTTTGATCTGATTGTAGGTGGGTTTGCGTGCGTCATTTATGAAATTGGCATCCGAATCCTTCTCGGCGCGCTGAAACAGAAACTGTGCGAACAGCGTTTGCGAAAAGGCCATGACCTTCTGATAGACATTCATCTCATCCGTATCGAGATGCATTTCAATCAAACGAACTTCCTTATTGGGCAAATTGCTCAGCTTGCCATCCAGCTGCAGCTGCGCCTTGGTCCGTCTTAACATTATGGACTTCATCAGCAGATTAAGCCGATCCTGTCCGCCGGCGCTCTTGTTATCGATCCATTTCTTCCACGTGGCCAGATCATCAAAGGGCGAACACCGCAAGAACTTGAGCAGCGCATAGACATCCAGCTCCTTGTTCTGGATCGGAGTGCCCGTCAGGGCCCAGCGATATTTGCCAAGCAGCTCGCTGACTGCTATCGAGGACTGCGCCTTGTGATTGCGCACCACATGCGCCTCATCCAAAATAATGCGACGCCATTTGACGCCATTCAATGCCCCATTCATTTTGTGCTCCCGGGCAACAATGTTGTATGTGGTTACCACGATGTCGTAGGTGCGTAGATGTTTGCCCTTCGACTCACGATTGTTGCCGTGATGGACGCAGACCGTTAGTTTATGACGTGACAGCTTGGAGGCCACCTCGCCCTCCCACTGGCGCAGCAAGCTCGCGGGGCAGACCACCAGGGTGCCGCCCCTATAATCTAAAGAGCAGAAATGTAGTTTAGAACAAGAGTTAATCGAAGATAAAACTCGTTTAATAATCTTGCCGGCATACTCTTGCATATAAAGACGCTAAGACATAATACTTAGACACCCTAAACACTATAAAGCACTTACGATCTTTGCGGCCCTTGGATGTCCAGCCGCCTATGCTCTTGCGCTTCTTGCCAAGGTCTTCGTCGTCGTCGCTGCTGGCAGAATCGGCGCCAGCGCCGCTCTCCTGCTTATTCTTACAAGCAAGCACCAGGGATATCATTGTCAGCGTCTTGCCTAGACCCATGTCATCGGCCAAAATGCCACCTCGTGGACGCTGCGACTCACGCCAGAACATCCAGGCGAGCGCATGCCTCTGATGATCCATCAGCTTCACCTTCAAGCCCTTCGGATCGTCAGCAAGCACATTTTCTGCCGGACAGCCTTTCAGCGACCCATGCAAATCCTGAAAGCAAATAAAGATAAAGATGTACATGAGAGTCTAGCTCAATTAGGAACTAGGAAGAGGCTTTGCTGCTGAATCAGAGGTGTGTGTGAGGATTTTAATCAGCGCGTGTCAGTGTTAGGTGCCCGCACAGTAACTCGTGCCCAGATGCCAACAGTCAAGGCACGCGTCTCAGATATCCATTCTAGCAGAGGTCATCATGCAACATCTAAAGAAGAAAAGAGCTATGCTGAGCTGTACGTACCTTGAGAGAATCTATTGTGAGCGCCTTCATCGCATTGAACGTGGCCAAACCTTTGGCGCCGGTGTGCGTGGGCTGTATTTGGTTTACGGCTGCAGACAGCTGATCCCAGTTGGGCGCCTCGTTTTGCGGTGGACGTGGATTGGACGTGCGCGGCTGGGTGACTTTTATTTGTGGCTTGTCCTTCATTACGGTGAGACCATTTAGATACTTCTTTTTGATTTCAATATCCTGACGCAGTGCTTCGATCCGCTTCTTAATCTGAGTGCCCTTGTCAGGCAGCTTGTGAGCTACCTTCTCGTACAGCTTCTCTGCCTCGTTTAGCTGAACGCCCATTTCGGACATTTTCCGCAACTCCTTGTCATAGAATTCACGCGACACCTGCTGACCCTGGACGCTTGCCCGTCTAGATGGGGACTTTTTAATGGCCGCCTTGATTGTGGGCTGTATCAAATTGTTGCCTGATCGCACTCTCGGTGCTTCGGAACTGGTGCGTGGAGAAAAGCTGCGCGATCTGCGATTCGACGAAGACGTCGATGGCTGCGGCGCATTTTCCTTATTGTAACTGTCGTCGTTATCGGTGCTGCTGGAGATTTCAATGGGCGTCTCCTTATTACTCAATATCAGCACATCGCTGCCGGAGGAGTCGTTGGTGGGCGACTTGGGCAGTATCTGTTGATGAGCAACCGGAAACAAGGTCGAGTGCAATGTTTCCTCAATGCTGCTCACAAATTGGGTGCTGTAACGAGGCGAAGGCATGCCAGTATCGGTGGCCCGACGATAGCGATCCGCAAGCGCCTGTTCACGCTCGACTTCCTCATCGAAAGTCGAATCCGTTTCATGTATACTGCCACTACTATTGGCTGTCTCCTGCTCAGGCAAATCCGATAGCTGATGTTTCGAATGCTGCTGCTCCCTCTCCTCATCGCTGTAATCGATCTCGCTGGAGCCATCACTTAGATCGTCTGGCCGCACACCCGTAATGCTCATGCGCGTGCGCGGCGACAATGCACGCTGATCCAACTCATCCTCCTCATCGCTGTCGGAGTAAATAACAGCTTTGCGGCGTGCTCCACCCAGTTGTCCCTTTCTTTTTGGCTGGTCCAAGTCCGTATCGTCAGAGTTCGAATTTGAATCCGAATCTGCAACAGTCACATTGCTAGTGCCGCTATAGCGACGACTGGTAGCTGCGCCACGGCCAGCGTTGACGCTGCTACGGCTTGAGCGTCCTTGTGGAAAACAAGATTTTCTGTATTTTTCTTTGGTGTATTCAAATCAATTTTAACTATTTTGCTTACCTGATGTGGTATTGCTAACGACATCGTCCTCGTCGCTGTAGTACTCCTCACTTTCGCTGCTCATTTATGAATATGAATGTTGTGTTTCTGAGGAATATCACGCTGCTCACAACAATTTGGGCGCCAGTAAATTTCAACAATGTAGCTGTAAGTGTTGCCGCTCTTTGCGAAAAAAAAAAACGGTAACAGCTTGGTATTTTATTGGTAAACCTACGCTATTTTGCTCATAGCATCTGGTCACACTGCAGACGAGTAAGCAATTTGTACTGTATCGCCGCTGTAATGATGCTGCTACACACCTAAAAAAAAAGCCTACTGCCTTAAATATACTGAAAATAAATAACGGTGCTGCCATCCAATAGCGACGCTATTACTAGGTAAGATTTCAGCTTACGGTCACACTGCATTTAAAACACGGTTATATTTAAATTAATAATTATTGAAAAATCTTTATTATGAAAAATCGTAAGAAATGTAGAAACAAGTGAATGTTGAGAAGCAGCCTGTGCTTACTTCTTAATGATTGCATTAACGGCAGCCACAATGTGACGAGCAGAGATGCCATACATGTCAACCAGCACGGCAGGTGGGCCAGATCGCGGCACGGTGGGCACAAACAAATGTTTCACCACGAAATTACGATGCTCCGCCAGAGCACTGAGCACAGCTTCGCCCAAACCGCCTTGTCTGTAGAAAGAAAATGATATTAGCAAGGAAAGCTTTGAGCAGATGATAGGTACTACACTTACTGATAATGATCTTCAACAACAACCACACGTCCTCCGCACTGTTTGCCCTGCTCCACAATCAGCTCCACATCGAGTGGCTTGACGGTGAATGGATCAATGACACGGGCCGTGATGCATTCCTTCTCCAGCTGCTCAGCAGCGCTAATACACTCATCCAGCGTAATACCGGCACCAATAAGGAGCACCTCATCAGACGGCTTCTGGCGCACCACACGGCCGCGTCCAATAGCGAAAGTGTCGTCGTTGTTATAGATGACACAGGTCTCGGGACGCGACGTGCGGATGAAGCAAATTCCCTTTGTATTAGCAGCCAGCTCGACGGCGCGTTCAGTGCTCACCGCATCCGAGGGATAGAAGACGGTGCTGCCGGGTATGGAGCGGAACATAGCAATATCCTCCAGACCCATCTGTGAGGGTCCGTCTTCGCCAATGCTGCAGCCACAGTGCGAGCCAACAAAATTCACGTTCGTCTGCGAGATGGCGCCCATGCGAATCTGATCGAAGGCGCGAGTAAAGAACGTGGCAAACGTAGAAACAAATGCCACAGTGCGCCGACGGCAAGTGGCGCCAATGGCCACGCCCACCAGATTCTGTTCGGCAATGAAGCACTCAATGTAGCGCTCCGGATAGGCGTTCCGAAGCCTATCGGAGTACGTTGAGTTCTTTGTGTCGCCATCCAGGGCGATCACACGATCATTGTCGGCCGCCACCTTGGCCAGGGCCGTGCCATAGGCCAGACGAGTGGGCACCTTATCGCCAAGCTTGTAGTTGGGCGGGGCGCACAACTTGATGTTGGTGATGTCCACCTCGGGCGCCAGACTGCCCTTGCACATCTTCTTGGGTGTCAGCTTGACATTGGGGTTCACGATTTGGCTCTGCAGAGACTTGATCACGCACGCCGCCTTAGCGCCCAATGCCTTGCCATGCCAGTTGTCCAAATCCTCAATATCCGGGAAGTCCTTGCCCTTCAGCGTCTTCGCGATGATGGCTGTGGGTTTGTTCTTCGTGACGGACGCACAGTGGAAGGCCTTGCACAACTCCTCTACGTCATGGCCATCCACGACCAGGGCATTGAAGCCAAAGGCTTCCAGGCGCTCCCGATACACGTCCATCCTGTGCTGCAGCGAGGTGGGCTCCGACTGACCCAGTCTGTTCACGTCGAAGATCACGCAGAGATTATCCAGTTCGTAGTGGGAGGCAAAGTGCAGAGATTCCCAGATGGAACCCTCAGCCGATTCGCCATCGCCCACAATCACATAGGTGCGATAGTCGGCCTTGTCATAATTCTTGCCAACGTACGCCATGCCAGCGCCCATGGCCACACCCTGACCCAGAGATCCGGTGCCGACATCTATGAAATTCAGACGCGGAGTCGGATGTCCCTCCAGATCGCTGTCGATTTTGCGCAAGTTCTTCAGTTCCTCTATGGGAAAGAGACCAGCCTCTGCCCAGGCAGCATATAGAATTGGACCAGCGTGTCCCTTGGACAGGACTAAACGATCACTGGAGGGATCACGTGGATGTTTCATGTTCAGACGCATCTGCTGGAAGAACAGAACCGACATGATCTCAGCCAAGGAACTACATGAGGTCGGGTGACTAAAATGAAAAATAAAACATTGAACAGGGATTAGTTTAAAACCTTAAGAGTTTTTTTTTTAATATTATTATGTTTTATAACGGTTTTAATACAAAAGGTTTTTCAAATGCTAAAGAACCAACTCAAGCTCTCTATACAAATCCAATAAAGAAAGGATAAGAACTATTAAACAATTAGTGTTCTTGATAAGATTTTATATCCTATACATAAAAATAAATATGTATAATATATAAAAAATTTTGGGAATAAGCTATTGTGGCATCTATGGAGAGCAAGTATTTTTCTATGGCTTCAAGCGCATTTTAGATACTATTGTGAAGTTTATAAAGTGCATGTCCATGAAATTGTTCATATATATGTACAAATGTTTATGTATATGCATACATACATACATACATACATATATATGTGTGTATGTGAGTAAATAAATTTGATATGCTGTGAATACTCCAAAACCAAAATGGAGGCTCGTCTTACCTACCACACAACATACATACATAAGAATGGATGTTTTTCTATGGAATCGTATACACATGTATGTATGTGTGTGTTAATATAAATAGATCTTATCGCAGACACATTTTTGTATACATTTGGGCATTGGAAACCGGTTGGTCGATTTTGCACGCTTTGCAGAAATAGATCTGTGTGCACAGATACAAGTGTTTGTACATCACATGGACGTAGTACAAAAAAGCCCTTAGCGATGTCCTCTGATGAGTAAAGAACTAATGAAGGTTATGTAGAATATTTGTGAGCCGGTCACCTCTATATAACGTGGAATCGATCATTTCTTTAGCTGACGAGCCGAACAACTGTAGGTTATCTGTTAAGCGAGGGGAGAAACAGAAAGGTCGCAAGTATACACACATACATACACATATATTCTATGCACACATATACATATTAGAGTGTAGCTAATCAGTTAAGTGGAAAACTAAGATGCGATAACAAACGGCAACAGCTAAAATCCATTGAAAGTATTTTATGATAAACTCGCGCTGCTTATCGTGCATTTAGTTGAATTGCAGTAAGGTCATAAATACGCCAGATCTCCTAGCAAATTAAGAGGCATTAACAACTATGTTTATATGGTTTTTGTTTTTATCATTATTATTATTGTTGTAAAGCGTTGCCAACTGGTCGGAAAATTCTAAAAGCTTTCAAGCACTCAAATAAGTTTGAAGCGGCAGCGGCTCACGCACGCTTTTATTTACACATTCATACACAGCCATACAAACATGTGCGTATAAGAGCGTACAAACTGGATACGCTTAAAATTGACTAACCCATAAGCGATGTTTGTGAAGTGTGTAGTTGTGAAGGTTAAGGAAGGTTAATCAAGAACTTTGTAATCAAACGCAAAATAAATGAACGCAGCTTATCTCCAATAATTTAAATAGCAACACAACCCCACACGAACAATCAGGCTTATGTAGGAGAATGTGCACACCAAAACGTGAGTTTTTTAGAACGGCGTTGCATTGGGCAAAACACGTGGCCTGACAGCCTTAAAGCCGGGGTCACCTTTGCAACTTGCGCGGCGTTCCAATGAGCAAGGTGCACAACTATTCCTCAGGTGATTGTCAAATGCTTACCCAGACTTAGAGGCCTCCGTCGCATTGATGGAATGAATACGCAGCTTGTGGGCCATATCTTTCAGGTCCTGCACAGTCTTGGCTTCGGGCTTGTGGTACGCCATTCTGAGTTCGATTCGTGTAGTTGGTGGTCTTTGTAGAAGTTTTTGAAAATTGTTGGCTGTTAACCAGTTGGCGAAATTGTAAGTTTTATAAACGGTATAGCACAATTGTGCCGTTTTGATGGCTCAAGTATCTCTGGTATAGAACCTGTCAACAGCACTAAACCTCTGCAGCCGGCGGCTAGAATCAAACTGCCGACGCTAAATATCTCGTTCTGTATGGAAGCAATTCTGTCTGAATTACGCGACGCTGACGTCGCACTCGCAAGCACACGATGTGGAAAGCTTTGGAGTAGAAGCGTGTTCCCTGAATCAGCTTTGTTTGCTTGCAGCTGGAAAGAGATAGAGATACATACATTAACTTCGACGGGCGTTTCAATCCAAAGCGCTGCAGCGTGAGTAAAACAGGTATCTTTTCGTTAAAATATAAATACTTTATAATTAACTTTGTTTTGCTGCGCACTTTAATATATTTACATGCACCGCAATTATTTTAAATGAATTGAAAATGTACGTAAGTGGCAATTGCGTTTACACCATGTGTTAATATAAGACTTTGGCTAGTCAACATGTATGCCTTCGATAGCTCAGTTGGTAGAGCGGTGGACTGTAGAACGGCAATTGCGAGAAATAGACATCCATAGGTCGCTGGTTCGACTCCGGCTCGAAGGATTTACTTTTTTATAGAATTCTTTTTTTTTTTTTTTTTTTTTTAATATTAATTTTATAATTTCTTATTATTCAATTAATTACCTCTAAATTATTTGTACACTAAAATTTTGGTTACTTGTGAATTTTTGTATCGCGTAAAATAAAATAAAATTGTATTTATTAAATTTGTAGTCCTAATGAATGAAATCTATTTGAAAGTAATGAAATTTGTGAGGCAGAAACCAAAATCATATGCCTACATTGATACATTATAAAACATAAAAAAAAAAAAAAAAAAAAAAAAAAAAAATTGAATCCTTCGAGCCGGAGTCGAACCAGCGACCTATGGATGTCTATTTCTTGCAATTGCCGTTCTACAGTCCACCGCTCTACCAACTGAGCTATCGAAGGCACATGGACGGCAGACGCCAAGAAGCGCATTCATAGGGGCTATGATAAAGTGAACTTATGTAGGTGTGGCTCTGCCATCTGCTTTTGGGGGCAAATACAAACAAATTCGGACAATTTAGCGTGTTGTTTTATTCTCGTTATGCGCACAATTTGAAATAGTTATTAATAAATACAAAGAAATATGTAGATCTCTTTTGAATATACATACATCGTTTTCTTTTAATATCATTTTTTGCTTCTCTTATCAATTTAACTAATGCATAAATTAGTTAGCAAAATAGTTAACATTAACAATACATAGTTACATTAAAATTTACATGTTCTTGATTTTGTTTTTGTCTTTTGGTACCAATTTTTTTGACTTTTGCAGTAGCTCTTTGTTCGAAAATGTTGATACTTACTCTTTCTAGTACCCTAAAGTTTTCACTATATTTAATATGAATTTATAAAAATAGGCATATGCTCTAAACCATTTACGCTAGAATCAATTTTGTGCACATTTTACAAACGGGTTTGGTTTAACGATTAACAATATTACACTTAAAGCTGCTTGGCGTGCACAGAGATTGTTTAACTTTATTTTTATAGATGAAACGACCTCTTAATTAGCCAATCGTTGAAATATGTCATACAGTTTAAGTTTCTTGATATTGTACAAGCGGATTTCTAGAAGCTGTTCACATAAATGAATGCATAAATAAAATGAATGCTGACTGGAATCTGCTATTTGATAATAAAATTCAACAATAAATTAATCTTGTATAATTAAAGAAATGCTAAATGAGGAGTTAAACAGAAAAAACACACGAATAAATACACTGAATGTGATATCACTAGCTAAATCGCGATAAGTAAAAGCGGTAAATAAAATTGAACATGAAATTATAATACAATAATTATGACGAGAAGGTGCTCGTTGATCGCAGTCTAGTCCAAGGCGATGCCCTGCATCCATGCGCTCAAGTCGCTACCATCGGATTCCATGATGATCTCATCGGGTTCGTCATTAGCCAGCAAGTACTGTGCCGCCGTCCGACCGCTCAAGTAGGCGCCATGCACGGTGGAGTAAAAGCTGGAATGCGTGTGCTCACCGGCAAACACTATCGCAGGCTGAATGGAAATAGGTAAGAATTAAAGAATTAATTGGAGTTTTGGCATCACTATGGCACGACGAACCTTTGTGGCCTGCGGGTTTGCATAAAGAGGCTGTGCCAGATTCTCAATATCCTCCTGGGTAGCACCCACGGGTATTGAGGTGTATGCGCCGCCTGTATACGTTTGTGACTTCCAGCTGGTACTAAATGTAAGACCAATCATTAGCATTATTTAATGAAATGAATTTCGGGCAGATCTACTTACCACACACACATTTTGGGTTTGGGTACGTAGGGGTCCTGCAGGAAATTGCGCAGAATTTCTGTGCATTTGTCAGCGACGACCTCATGCGACAACGTTTCCATATACTCCGCTTCCCGACCCGACACCCAGCCCAAGAGCAGCGTGTCCGTTATCTTGGCAAATGAGTAAATCTTCTTGTACCAATTCTTGCTCAGATAAGCCTCTGTAGTGCTCTCTTCCTCGCTCACAGCATCCTGCTTGTCATCGTCCCAGAGCAGCATCACCTCCGATACGGCCGCACTGAGAAACGGTCGCTCGTAGACCAAAAAGATTTTGTCCACAGTGCCAAACATGAGATTCTCAATGGATTCCTGTTTGTAGTGCGGCAGCTCCGGATCGAACAGGCTTCGATGCGTTTGCTTCAGCACGCCCAGCGGTATGGTGCATATCACATGCGACGCATGGAACACGCGTCCGTTCTCGCAGTCCACGCGCACTGCGCCCTCAGGCGCAATATCACAATTGCTGCTGGTATTCGACTCTACGGAGGCTCCGCGCATGGCGCTGCTAGCCGTCGTTGGCACTTCCGTTACGGTCTTTTGCGAATCATCGGAATCCTCATTTTCGGAATTCTCGTCGACGGTCTCCAGGCCGGTGAATGTCTTTTTTCGTTTCCAGTGTATCTTTTTCACCGGACACTTGGTCAAGATGGACTCTTTGGGTATCTGAGCGCTCAGCGGGCGCAGTATAGAACTGTAGCCTGCGGGCAGCACAATATTACCGCCCTGCAGTTCCGTATAGCTACCTGTAAGTGGGATATAACAAAACATTCAAACTGCTGCATAAAAACTCTCTTATTTTTGCCTGCTCACCCAGCTCCAGCAAATCCACCTCGTTCATATTATGGCAGCCCGTAATGCAGGTCTCGCGCTTCAGCAGACAATTGAATATCAATTGCTTCAAGCGCTTCTCTTTGGGATCTTGCACCGAGCTGAGATAGATCTCAATCTCATAGTTAATGTGCTCCCCCACGCTGTTGATGTCCGGCGGCGGGCTGTACTGGCAGAGGAAATACTCATCACAGCGGCGTAGAAAGCAGACGTACGCCTCGTAGATCTCCTGCAGTATACTGAAAGGAACTTGATGCCCATCCTCGGTGGTGGCCACCACTTTGTGCGGCTTCGGTACGTTCACAACGCTGACTAGACCATGATGCACGGCTATTTCGAATATGGGGTTGCCAAGCACGCCGTGAATCCAATTGGCGCCCAGCTCCACCTGGAAAATGTAATTTGAATACCCCTAATGTAATCTGATAAAACTACAATTAAATACACGAAAATTAAATTAAACATAAGCATAAAAATAAGTTACACAATATATCGAATAGCCCTAATCTAACTCGTATTACTGTGAAATATAGAAAACCATATGGTATTGAATACCCCTAATGTCGAATTTATTCCCTCTCCTGGCAACTGTCTTTATTATTATAAGTTAACAGATAAAATACAATTTACTTTCCGTTAGGCTAGATAAGAACTGACCTATATGATTATGTTTAAAAATAATGCATTTTTGTTTAGAAATTTTAATTAACTTTTTGTTTTTTCCCCTAACTTACTGTCTACGTGATTGTTAACTCGTTGCTAAATGCAACGCCCCCTGAAACGTCATAATTCAGACATCTTATCTACTAATCATTAAATTGTATAACAATTGGAAAGTAGAAGCTGGAAGACTCGGCAAAAAAAAAAAAAAAAAAAAAAAAAAAAAAAAAAAAAAAACAACAATCAAACGACAAGGACAAGGACATTCCATACGCAATAAGGCAGACCATACTTGAAAGGCAATAAATTAAGCAGACCAGAAAATAACAACAACAAGTAAACATAAAAAACAATTAATTTAAATATTCCTATTCAACTATTTACGTATTCATTTATATCTTTTCTTTATATCTTTTTAATTATTCAAATATTTTATTTCTAGTTATGAGCTGTTTCTTCGCCAGCTTGTGGAAAAATCTATAATTTTATATTTTGTAATTTCGAGTGCCCTTCCCCTTTGGGGAGAGAAAAACCGTTGCTCAACAGCAGCAAGTGGACAAAAATACCAATACACCCCCTTCCTTTCACGCACACAGTACTGTTGCCCCTTTTGCGGCCGACACACACATATTGCTTCTTACATAATGGCCTCTGCAATACCTTTTGATTGTTGCCGAGTGGTATGGACACAATACGGCCACCCACCCGACCGCGCGCCTCCACAATGAGAAAATCATCGCAGCCGTTTTGCAACAGATGATTGGCAGCGGACAGGCCAGCCATGCCAGCGCCAATTATCAGAACCTTCACATTTGTGATGCCGCCCTGAGCGGTACCCGTGCTGGATGCAGCGGTGCCATCGTCGGCGACACGACCCGCAGCCGCTGCTGCTGCCGCCGCTGCTATATCGGCCAGGCCTTCCTCTGTGGGCGATGGCGCGGGTGTTTTTGGCTCTTTATCAACCATTTTGCTTTGTTTCACATATGCAAATCAATTTTGCTGTTTTTAATCACTTTTGGTGTTTTGCGTGTGTATTTTTACTCCTCATAGCGTTTTTGCTTGCACTTTTCTATATCGCGACGGCCACGAACTGTTTTGACGTTTCGTTGACAGCGCCGTCGAGCATGGTTGGTTAGGCAAATGGGGGCGGAGATTCCGCGCACTTGTTTAAAGCAATAAAAATGCGTTGAATAACTAATTTATCTATGAATTCCAGCAGCAATATTTTATTTATTATTGCATTTATTTGCTTGTTTTAAATTAATTTTCACATATTTGCCACAAAATTAGAAAAACAGCTGCGAATGGCCAAGCTGCCAGACGGTTAATTATGCGATGTAAACAACTTGTTCATGCTGCCAGACAGCTTATAGCTAACACATTGGCAGCACTGAGCTAACATCTGTACAAGTTGCATTCCTGTTTGTTTTTTTTTTTTTATTTCACCACAACACCACAAATGCATTAAAATTAAGTGAAAAATAAGCCGCGCAGTTCGCCAGTTGAGAGTGCGAGCAATGTGAATACTCTTGTGTCAGCCAGTAATAACGAGCTTCAAAATGACTGACGCCTACTGTTTGTCCAATTTTATTGATTTTTCACAGCATTTGTCACAGCCGCTGAGGCACAGCCATCGGATCAAGGTAACGATTTTGTTGTAACTTTATACAGAACACGCTAACTCAGTACTTGTAAACTCTAAACTACAGTATACGTGCTTTGATATCTCTGACAACTATATCATCTTTGGGGCCACTTCTGGCTCTCTGTACTTCTTCAATCGTGGCGGCAAGTTTATGCACCTGATCCCCAATAAGCATGGGCCGGTCACACACCTGAGCATCTCGGCCAACAACAAGTATGTGGCCTTTTCCACTCAGCGCTCTCTGATCTGCGTATATGCGGTGAATCTATCCGCTCAAGCCGCACCTCAAGTGATTGTCACCCACCTGAGTACCGATCAATCGGTGCAGGTGACGTGCATCCATTGGACGCCGGATGAAAAGCAATTCTACTATGGCGATACACGCGGCCAAGTCAATCTGGTACTTCTCTCGTCCTTCATTGGACATAGCCTGCTGTTTAATATGTCCGTGCATCCACTATTGTATCTGGATTCGCCCGTTGTTCAGATCGATGACTTTGAATCTCTGCTCCTGGTGTCCAACAACACCAAATGCATCCTATGCAACACCGAATACGAAGAGTACAAGCAGGTAAACTACAATGTTCTGGAAGTTAGTCATGCCCTTAGCTAATTGGGTTTTTCTGCTTGTAGATTGGAAACCGTCCACGGGATGGCGCCTTTGGCGCTTGCTTCTTTATATCGCCCCACGAGTCAGTGCAGCCGTCGCGCATTTATTGCGCACGTCCTGGCACGCGCATCTGGGAAGTGGACTTCGAGGGCGAGGTAGTGCAGACGCATCAGTTCAAGAGCGCACTGGCCACCGCACCTGCCCAGATCCTGAAGCCCAGCGAAGGGGATGCTTTCAGCGATGACGACGCGGATGCACTGGAGGCCAACGATGAACTGCTGGACTATCAGCCGCAGAACCTGCAATTTGCCAAGCTGCAACGCCTGGGCGAAAATTTTCTGCTGAGCTATACCGAACTGGGCCTCTACATCTTCGATGTGCGTCACTCGTCGGTGGTGCTGTGGTGCAACAAGTTCGAGCGCATTGTAGACTGCCGTGTCGCCGGCACTGATATCTTTGTCTTTACCCAGACGGGTTCGCTGTACAGTGTGCAGCTGCAGACACTGCAGTCGTACGCCCTCACCCTGATACAGCAGTCGAAGCTGCCGCAGTGCGCCCGACTGCTGCGCCAGCACGTGAAATACTTTGCGGACAAGGCGCGCGAGCACTACGAGCTGAAGCAGCTCAATCAGCTGAAGCAACTACTGATCGAGCGCCAACAGTATGAGTTGCTCAATGATATATCCGTGATCTTTGATGCCATTGCCCAGTGCACGGGCAGCGCCATGGACACGCACAGCTCCGGCGGCAGTTCGGCGACAACAGAGCGAAGCCTCAGCACAGCTGGCGGTGGGTCTGGCTTTAGAAGTGGAGATAGCGTTGGTGGTGTCGCGAGTCCAGCGCCACCCAAAGGCGTTTATGTGCTGGAGAATGCATTCTGCGATAATCTGAAGCAGCCGCCCAAGTCGGGACACTTCAAGGATGCCCTGCTCACGGTTACGGGCAAATTTGGCAAGAACATCATCAAGTACAAGTTCAACATATTCGCCGAGGAGCAGCAGCAGCARCTTGTCCGCGAGCTAATCCCTGCCAGTGAGCGCTCGCTGCCCTTTAAAGACATCAAGGCACGCTACGAGGCGCAGGATGAGGATGAGGAGATTGTATGTCGCAGCAGCAGCAACGGACGCAAACGACAGCCAGCAGCAACGCCACACATCAGTCCGGAGGAGAAGACCATCTACAATCTGTACTTGATCCACAAGGGCGCAAAATTCAGTCGCACCCATTGCGTGGAGCGCTATCGCGCCGTCTTCGATGAATATGCGGCCAGCGAGCTGATCCAGCTGCTGGCGAAGCTCGGCCAGGTGATGATGGAGCATGGCGACAGTCCAGAGCAGGCGCAGCGTAATTGCTACGAGATGTACTTCAACTATCTCAATCCGGAGCTCATCTGGGAAATGGATGATGCCATTCGAGACTATATAGCTGACGGATTGGCTCTATTGAATGCCGGCGTGGAGATTGTCCGCTGCAGCCATTGCAACTTCCCTCTGCGCTTCCACAACGCCTGCCAGTACCATGAGCTGGGCGCCGTGCTGCTACGTTACTTTTGGTCGCGTAACGAACAGCTGAAGTGCTTCGATGTGCTGCAGTCGATGCCGGCGCTGCTCGATGTCCTGGCCAAGTTCTATCTGGCCGAGCACAATTTGGACAAGGTTGTGCCCATTGTTTTCAACTACGGTTCCGTGGAGCTGTTGCAGGATGTGGGCAGACAATTGAATGGCGCCGCCTGGGCACGTTGCTTTGAGCAGTTTGTGGAACTGCAACGTGGACGCCTGACCTGTGTCAACTGCGAGTGCGTCAGCACTGTGGAAGAGGAACAGCTCTCACGGCATTTCTTCTACACATGGAACTGTTTCCTTAACATCGCTCTAGATCATCTGACAGCCAGCGAGACGCTGGCCTTGATCTTCAAGTGGAGCTCGTATATACCCAGTGATGCGATCGATCGTGAGTTCTACAAACGCTGCCTACTTAAGGGCTGAAACTCATATGAAATATATATATAATACATAGATTTATGAATATTATGCAAWTACTGATATTTATTGTCGAAATGTTAGCTGCATGCAACTTGCAACATTCCCTGGCCATGATCCTAAAAATATATGTATACATATATATAAAGTTTAGCTAAAGCTACAGCCAATACCAAAAGCATTTATTCTATATAAACATATATATAAATATATATGTATATATATACACATAAAACCGAAACAAAAATATATATCTATTTACATATGTACCAATTGTATGAGTTTGTGCATAAATTATAATAAAAACCAATATCACTATATAGTTCCCTGCATACTTCCTTGAATTTAGCTTCAAATTTTCGAAGCCTAAAAATTAAACAGTCTACACACGAACATAACACAACAAGTTTTGGCATAATTCATACAAAATTTCAACTGCAAAGCAAGCATTTCTCGAAACTAACAACATCAGCCCCACCATAGCGAAGACATCCATCATAGCATTTAAAGTTGTTGAAGGTTTTCGCAAAAACGAACAAATTTGAGGCGAGCTGCGAACAGAAACGCTTGAAACGATAATAAATAGATAGAACGAGGTAGATATAACGGCTACCAGGATTTGATATGACTATCGATTTACACAATCGTGAAGTGAAGCGGAAATCGTGAAGTGAACAACAGTCTGGTAACGCATTTTGCTAAGCAACTCTGTAATAATCAACTCTGGACACTGCGATAACGATAAGTAACAACGCTGACTCACGCGCTCCCATCACCAATTCTCCACCATTTTTCCCGTGTGGCTCGTTTTCGCCGTTGGTGTGGATAAGACACGCGTCTGAAAGCAGAAAAAACGCGAAAGCGTACAAAAACCATACATTTTAAGAACAAGCATAATATCTGGCTTGTGATTGTCAGTAGGCACAAGTAGGCCTAGTGAAGCATATAAAAATTAAAACTTCTTATTGGTCGAAGAAACTTATAAAAAGTACAACCTCGCTCTCTCCACATAAGAACGTAGTAGCTTGTGGAACGTAAGAAGTTGTCGGAAAAAAAACTGAAAGAAAAACGTATAGACACGAAGTGCAACACAAACATACATAAAGAAAGAAACACAATTTACAATTAATTTTTTTTTGGAAATTGCAAGTGTGCGCAAAATCGAGAACAATTCCAAAATTTTCCTAAACGGAAAGAAAGAAAAAACAAGCAAGTGATTGGAGGATAATATGAGTAATGCTATTAACCAAAATGGCACAGGTCTAGAGCAGCAAGTAAGTATTGTACTTGTATATGTGAATGTAAAATGTGGTTTGGTGCAAACGAAGGAGGGTACATAATGGAAAAAATTGTAGATTTACCTCTGGTGTATTTGTGTGTGTGTATGTGTGTTAGCTGTGTCAGCTAAAAGTGTGTCTTTGTGTGAGTGTGCATGTGTGAAAGAGTCGGCGATGCTCATGCGGTCTGCACACGATTATTGAACAGTATTCAGTCGAGTTCAAAAAAAATTTTTTTTTATTGATTTCATAACATACAAATCGTTTGACCGTGGAATTCGGTGTGCTTTTACATATTGCAACGAGCAGTGGCTCGCATATGTATTTACGTGTGTATGTTTTTGTGTGTGCTTGTAAGTTCATTTCATTAGTGTAATTTCTTTGTATAATTTTTAGGCTGCCTCCAATTTGACATGTTCATTGCTGTGCAAATGTACATGTATGCGTGCGAGAGTTTTTCTGCTAATGTGTGTGTATGTGTAGCCGCAATTCTAAACCAGTGCATACAAATGTGTGAGTGCGAGATTGCGGCGTTCTCTTTGCATTGCTCTCTCTCACACACTCATGTGGAAGCTGAGTATATTTGTAAACAGGGTTGCCAGACGGTCATGTAATCTGTGCATTGTGGGCGACTTCTACCATACGGTAGACAATAGCACCCTGTAACTGATTATATGGCGAAAACAAGTTCCACATTTGTATAGTTTCCATTGCAACTCATTCCACGAAAACGTTGTACGTACGTAGAATTTTGCCTGTGTAGGAGGCTTCCCATTGTTTTTGTTGTTGCTAAGCCACAGCCAAAGCCTCTCAAACTAGTTGCGCTTATTTTTCGCAACTATTGTGTATGCCTCTGTTTGAACGGTGTGTGTGTGTGACACTAGGCGTCGCGCTTCACATAAAAAAATACATGTTGCTAACCGGGAATACCAATAGAATTGCGAGAGATTGTGATTTGTATATATGTGTGAGTGTGTGCGTGTCTATGCTCAAACGAGAAAACTTGTTATTACAATTCTCTCTTTGGCAACGGCTTGGAATTCGTTGAACTTGATCCCGTGTATGTGTGTGAGTGCTAAAACAAAAAGTCAACGCTTTTGTTTATTTTAAACGTTTAGAAAATCGTCCATACTGAAAAGTTGCATTCCCCATTGATATTGATTACGAATATACAATATATACATATTCATATATATTGTGGTAGATTAATTCGATTGATTTTATTCTATTCTAATTATTCATCATAATTTCTTTAGGTTGCTGGTCTGGACTTGAATGGCGGCTCGGCTAACTATAGCGGCCCCATAACAAGCAAGACTTCCACTAATTCGGTCACTGGTGGCGTTTATGTGCCCCCGCATCTTCGAGGTGGTGGTGGCAACAACAACGCGGACTTAGACAATCAGGGTCAAGGCTTTGATTCAGGTGCCGCTCCGCAAAGGGAGCAGCAGCAACGCGGCGGTGACTATCGCAGAGGCGATCGCGGCGGAAATCGCGGTTACAATCGCCAGAGCGGCGAGTACGGAAGTTTTGGAAGCGGCGGCGGCGGTGGTAGGCGCGGTGGTGGCAATCGCTACGAAGATAATTATAACGGTAAGTCTAAACAGGTATTTTTAGAATTGTACGAATTATCCTTTTCCATACAGGAGCATCAAATGGATTGAAGAGAACTTCATAAAAAACTAATCAACTTGTAATGTTTTTTTCGCAGGTGAATTTGACTCGCGCCGCGGCGGTGACTGGAATCGAGGAGGCGGACGCAACTTTGGGGATCGACGCGGGCCATCTTATCGCGGAGGCGGAGGTGGTGGTGGCTCCTCTGGAGCTGGAGGCAATGGCCTCAACGAGCAATCTGAAGAGGTTCAGCAGCCACGCAATGATCGCTGGCAGGAGCCGGAGCGCCCAATTGGTTTTGATGGGGGCTCCAACGAAGGTGGTCCACCCGGCGGCRGCGGCGGTGGTGGCGGCAACAGAGGCTACGGCAATCGCGGGGGCGGCGGCGGAGGTGGCTACAACAACAGTCGTTGGAAGGAAGGCGGCGGAAGCGGCGGGGGCAACATCGATTACACAAAACTGGGACCACGCGACGAGCGCTTGGAGCAGGAACTCTTCGGTGTGGGCAACACGGGCATCAATTTTGACAAATACGAGGATATACCCGTGGAGGCGACGGGCCAGAATGTGCCGCCGCACATCACATCGTTCGATGATGTGCAGCTGACGGAGATCATACGAAACAATGTGAATCTGGCGCGTTATGATAAACCGACGCCGGTGCAAAAATACGCAATACCAATTATAATCAGCGGACGAGATCTGATGGCGTGCGCGCAGACCGGCTCTGGCAAGACGGCCGCCTTTTTGGTGCCGATTTTGAATCAAATGTACGAGCTCGGATTATCTGCGCCACCGCAAAGCAATCGGCAATACAACCGACGCAAGCAGTATCCGCTGGGCCTGGTGCTGGCGCCGACCCGTGAGCTGGCCACCCAAATCTTTGAGGAGGCCAAAAAGTTTGCCTATCGCTCGCGCATGCGTCCCGCCGTCCTTTATGGCGGCAACAACACCAGCGAACAGATGCGCGAACTGGATCGTGGGTGTCATTTGATTGTGGCCACACCCGGTCGCTTGGAGGATATGATAACACGTGGCAAGGTGGGATTGGAGAATATACGTTTCTTAGTGCTGGACGAAGCCGATCGTATGTTGGACATGGGCTTTGAGCCTCAGATACGTCGCATTGTCGAGCAGCTGAACATGCCACCGACGGGCCAGCGACAGACATTGATGTTCTCGGCCACATTCCCCAAACAAATCCAGGAGCTGGCCAGCGATTTTCTCAGCAATTACATTTTCTTGGCCGTGGGACGTGTTGGCTCCACCTCGGAGAACATAACACAGACCATATTGTGGGTCTACGATCAAGACAAACGTTCGTATTTGTTGGATCTGTTGTCATCGATACGGGATGGGCCCGAGTACTCGAAGGATAATCTGACGCTCATTTTTGTGGAAACAAAGAAGGGCGCCGATTCTCTGGAAGAGTTCCTTTATCAGTGCAATCATCCGGTCACCAGCATTCATGGTGATCGCACCCAAAAGGAGCGTGAGGAGGCGTTACGCTGCTTCCGATCGGGTGATTGCCCGATTCTCGTTGCCACTGCTGTGGCGGCTCGTGGTCTGGACATTCCGCATGTGACACATGTCATTAACTTTGACCTGCCTACCGATGTGGAAGAGTATGTGCATCGTATTGGCCGCACAGGTCGTATGGGTAATCTCGGCGTTGCCACATCGTTTTTCAATGATAAGAATCGCAACATTTGCTCCGACCTTCTGGAGCTGCTGATCGAGACCAAGCAGGAGATACCTGGCTTCCTCGAAGAGATGCTTAACTCAGATCGCGGCCATGGTGGCGCCAAGCGTCGTGGTGGCGGTGCCGGCGCACGTTACGGCGGCGGCTTTGGCTCACGCGATTATCGTACATCTTCTGGCGGTGGTGGTGGTGGCGGCCGCAGCGGCGGTGCTAGCGGCGGCGGTGGTGGCGGCGGTCGCAGCAGTGGTTCTGCCGGTGGTGGTGGTGGCAACTATCGCAGCAATGGAAACTCGTATGGTAAGTTTGGTGAGTGAACTGCGCACATTATTATCCAACCTTGTTGCATATATTATGATAATGTTTATGTTGTGGCAGGTGGCAGCTCTGGCGGCGGCGCCTACGGCGGTGGCTCGTACGGCGGATCGTATGGCGGCGGCGGCGGTGGTGGCTCTCACTCAAACAATGGGCCGGACTGGTGGGGTCAATGAGCAAGGCTTGTCAGCCATAGAGGCCGGCAGCATCCACAGCGACCACATCATCCCGACTAGCGTCAAATAGAAATGCAAACAAAATAATAGGAGCGACACATACAACTACAGCGAAGAGGATTAACAAACAAGAGCCCGGAGTGAGGAGTAGAAGTCGACGCAGGAACAGAAGCAGAAAAAGAAACAGAGCCTCAATGCGAAAATCTTTTGATAAACCGATCGATATAACAACTTAATTATATTTGCATATTATATGTATCATCTATATATGTATACAGATATGTATATATATCTATATATATAGGGGCAGCAAATGTGAAAGAGAAACTGTCTGTGCGCAGCGCAACACTCAACACACACATACACACACACACACACCCACACACAAGCACATATAAACACATATGATCACGCCAATACAACAACACACCCATACACACATTAACAATAGCAAAAGCATTACAAATAAAATAAATTGTTTAAAAATAATATTTAACATATATATAGAAATATGCTGGAAAAACAACACAACCGTTACACAAAAGATGAACACTGAAAGAAATGTAGTTTATAAAACATACACACAACAAACAAACACACGCATAAAAATAGGTTCATTAACAAATAATATTAATAATACAAATTTATTTACATACATAGATATGCTAGAGCAAAGCTACACGGCAACGTGAGCCAGCAACATTAAGGATTTAATATAAAAGGGGCAATTTATGAATTACTAGTGTCCTTTCCCCAACACACGCAGCCTCTCGCATATTTTTCTCTTTCAAATATTGAAATCGATAAAGATAATACAAAACATAGAACTTTAAATGATAAGCGATTTTCAATTGATGAAACATTGAACATCAATGATTTTAAAGATAACGAAAAGATAACTATTACAAGTTATATATATATATCTATACATATATATATGCGTATACATATATACATATGTATAAAAATATAAATCACGAAATACGAAAAAATCATTTAAAACCAAAAAAAAAACAAAAAAAATAAGTTTGCTAAAAATAAATTGAATAATTTAGCAAATGGAAAATCCGAGAGTTTTATTCGATACTTTAAAATAAAAGTTCTAAAAGTAACGAAGTTGGAATCTATGCGAGTTAACTGGAATTCAAGTTTTTGATACACTTGGCGAGAGGGCATTATGAATTTGTAGTTGAGTTTGCAACGAATCGATCGACAGCAGAGATACCTACTAAATGTGCTCTTGGTAGACGACTGATTTATAGAAGTAATTATTTAGATAACATTTGTTATAAACATCAGTCGCGTCTACAGCAATGTTGAATAGTCATTAATTTCACGACTATTCAGAATATCAGAAATTGTTTTAGGCAATGTATACAAAATTGCGAGGGTATGAACTCTTCGAGACTCTTTCCCTATAAGAGAACAACAAAGAGAGAGCCCTGGAGAGTTGACTGGCCTTGCTTGGCTTCAACTTATTATGATGATCCGTCTGGTAATCGACGAGTAGAGCATTCGCATATGCGCAGCTGTTCTTTCTTCATTTGTTCATTTGGAATTCCAATTTGTCAGCGGTGTGTGTGCGCGGATTCCATAAATAAAAGAATTTCTGGTGGCGCACGTTACGTCCGCTCTTCAATTAACATAAATTTGAGCGAAAGCTCGCCAGATCGTTGGGCTGGAAGCCGAGTCTAGCCACTAATTTGATTAGATTAGGAAAACCTGATTATCTGCTGGGCTGCATTGCAAAATGAGGAGCTGCCTTCTTTCAGCTGCTGGGGCTGCTGCTGCTGCTGTTGGTTTGTAGCTAAATGGACGCGTCTGCTTGTTGGCTAAAGGTGTGTTTGCTTATGTGAGTGTGGAATCCATTTTATTTATTTTTATTTTTTAACGATCGGTGTGCTGGCAGTTGAACGCGCAAAATGCAAAAGTCACAACGTGAGCAATGCTGGACGCTGCTGCTGCTGGGCGCGTTGATAATCTCGTTTGGAGTAATGTTTAGCTATTGGTATCTGGTGCCGCATCAGCTACCCATCTGGCAGTTATTCGGGCACAACGAGAGCTCAGACGGGGAGCCGGCAACAGCGGAGTTGAAGTTCTTTATGCCGCCACAGTTGATACCCAAGGAGCTGAAGCTGAAGCGTGGTGCGCCCTATATATATCAGATATTTCCATAGATATTTCAGACATACATACATTTACATACATATATAGTTTGTATTCTTAAACTATGTTAACAATAAATTACAAGTATCATTTATTTTAGAGTAATTGGTGGCTTAGTTAGCATCACAATCACATTGGAGATACCGTTACTATATGTTGGTCAAGTCAAACGTCTGATTTTTGATTGAGCGCAGCGTAGCCAACGGGAATCTCTTTCATTTCGGTTTGCAGGCACAGAAACTCGCCGCCAATGCACATTATGGTCGCTGTAATTACATTGAGCAGCCACCATGAGGCGCTCGCTGGAAAGGAGCGGTTGTACCACCAGCAGATTATCAGATGCAGCAAATGGAACGTGCAACTGTGGGAGAGTGAAAGAGTACAATGAAAACCAACAGAGTGATAGAGCGAAAGACAGGGAGTTTGTATGACTGATAGCTACCTGAAGTCGAGGCACAGCTTTGCCCGACGCACAATGCACCAGAGCGCCAAGGAGGCCACAAAAGCGTTCAAGACAAATGCGCAGATAACCAGCCGCCCACCCAGATCATATATATGTATTTCCTGGGGGGAAAAGCGCATTAAAGAAAAGCAACGCACATCAATTAATATAGCACTCACATGGTATTCGAATAGATGATCCAATGTATAATTGTCGCCAGACAACTTGTTGGCTATAAAGACGAGCAGGCCAAGTGTGAAGTACACGCAGCACTGCATGGACACAATCTGTGATGTTAGAAGCGTGGGATCCCATTGCGTGTTTCGAAATGTGCCACCTTTCATGTTATTATTTAGTATTGTTGTTATCTATTTTTGTCGCATATGTGCACTTGCTATTGGTCCAGAGATGCAAAAACAAAACGGTAAAGCCAAGGCTGACTCACCCTTGGAGTTAACTAGTTCCGTTCATAGCTAGTTCAAAGTAGCTCAGCTGTTAACGGAAGCGGAGCCATGATGTACATACATATGTATGTAGGTCCAGATCAATTTACATATACATGTGTATGTAGGGAATTATATATCTACTTATACACATACACAGGAATTCAAACACATCGAACACACAGAAAATTGTTCTTAAAAAAATTGATTTTATTTCTATAAATCCAAACCACACAATTGTTTCAACAGGGCAAGCACCTGTTAACTACTGTTAACAAGAGTACAATATTAATATTTCAGTTCTTATCGTTCTTAAACATGGTGCAAGCAACGCGGAAATTTGTAAGCTTAAAAATTTAGAGATCTTAAATTAAATATTGAACAAATTATTAAAATTCCAGAGTCGCCTACGATCGTTAGGCATTGTAACAGCAGGTGCCGCAGCCCTGTTCATGGGCATAACAGCCTATAATAATCAGGATAATTTTTACCGCTCATTTGTCATGCCCGTTGCTCGTATTCTGCCCGCTGAAACAAGTCACAACTTGGCGGTGTGGGCCTGCAAGCACCGCCTCTACCCTGCCTCCGATTACACAGATGATCTAAATTTGCACTGCTCCTTCTTTGGTCGCCTCATTAGCAACCCAATTGGCATTGCAGCCGGCTTCGATAAAAACGCCGAGGCCATAATGGGACTAAAGGATTTGGGTTTCGGCTTCATTGAGGTGGGAAGCGTGACGCCTTTGGCCCAGAGTGGCAATCCAAAGCCGCGCGTGTTTCGTTTAGTTGATGACAGGGCCATAATCAATCGCTATGGTTTCAATAGTGAGGGCCATGACGTGGTGTTGAAGCGCTTGAGGGATCTTCGTCAGCGCGAAGATTTTAATGCTATTGTGGGAGTAAATTTGGGCAGAAACCGCGACACGATGACCCCAATTGGCGACTACGTGAAAGGCGTGCGTACCTTTGGGCCCGTCGCCGATTATCTGGTCATCAATGTCAGCAGTCCTAATACGAAAGGACTGCGGGAAATGCAGAGTAAAAAGGAGCTCACAGAACTGCTGGAAGCAGTAAATGCAGCCCGCGGCAAACTAAAGGTCAACCCAAATGTGCCCATACTGTTGAAGCTGTCACCTGATCTCGAACACCGTCAGCTGATTGACATAATCTCCGTCATCAACAACAAGAAATGTCGCGTCGATGGTTTAATTGTCTCCAATACCACGCTCTCCCGAGACAATATCAACGATATTTCATTGGCTAACGAGGCGGGCGGCTTGAGTGGCGAACCGCTACGTGAGCGCTCCACCAAGATGATTGCTCAAGTCTACTCGTTAACCAAAGGTAGTATTCCCATCATTGGAGTGGGTGGTGTGGCCTCTGGAAATGATGCGTTCGAAAAGATCGAGGCTGGTGCCTCGTTCGTCCAGATCTATACAGCTCTCGTGTACGAAGGGCCCGAAGTCGTGGAGCGCATCAAAAGCGACCTCTCGCTGCGGATTAGTGAATTGGGCCTGGCCAATGTTGGACGTGCTGTTGGTTCCAACTACTCCAAATATTTGCGTTAAGACATCGTATAAAAACAATAAAATTGTTTGTATATTTATCATAACAATGCGTTACTTCACTTAAAGCTATGCGTTCTCGTTGGCGCGTTGGACGTTGAGTACACGTCCATCGAGAAGATGTGTATTCTGGTTGCTGGCGCTGTTGTAGGCGTCTCTTTGGCTGAATATCACGAAGCCATAGTACTTGGACAGACCCAGTTGCTTGTCAAATACCACCTCTGCGTTAGCCACATGGCCGAAGCGGGAGAAGTACGAACGCAGCTCCTTGCTGCTTATGGTCCAGGGCAAATTTCCCACAAAGAGCTTGTAGGTGCTTCGGGCTGCGGTGCCAGACATAACTTTTTTATTTACGTAAGTTTTTTTTTTTTAACTAGAAATTATTTGTTTATTGTTTTAACATTGCTCTTAAATTTAATAGCTAGCAGTACTGTTATTAACAGCATTCAAAATATTAATAGCTCAAAGATAAAATGTTATTTTATTTCGCTAGAATTTTAAATTACTTCCATTTAAAGCATTTTAGAATACAAAATAGAATTGATTTGTTGGGTAATAGCTCAGTTTTTAATTATATTTTGAGCTTTTTTTAAATTTAACAGAACTATGGACATCACTACAGAATGTGGCTGTACATCTGTTCTGCTAAATTGTGTTTTTGATTCTTTCAGTATTTATCGATAGTGATTTCAGTTTTGTTACTTGTGGTCACATTGCATATTTCGTTGCATTGCTGTCTTTTTAATGTTTTTTAGTCTATTTTTATGTAAAACGAAAGTGTGAAAATGCAAGGCGCATAGATGTGCACTCGAGAATTAAATAAATAATTGAGCTGTGCACTTAAGTGTGACCACCTATAAAGTGTGCGGCGAGCGGTTATGGTGTAGTATATGTTTTGCCAGTAGTTTTCGCTGCGAAAATATTTTCGGCGCCCCCTTTTGAGCGACGTGTATTTGGGGCGCGGCGCCCACCTGAAAAGAAGAAAACGACGTCAATAAAGCGACGTTCATAATAAAACTGCTATCGGATTTAGCGCCAGGCATACACAATGGCAGAAAGGCCCAAAAATTTGTTTGCAAGTGAGTAATATTTTTGCTTAACACTGCCCACGCACACGAATACTCACACAAACTCACGACTCATATGTATATTCGCTGTTACATACACGCACACACGCGTATGAACACAGCACTGACGCATTGGTTGGGCACAATGCAGTTGATAAGCCGTAGATCATAAATAACCAATTTTCCACACCTTATCACAATGATAGCTGGGCCTAGCCGTTCCCGTATACCGCCTGACCAGCTTAATCTGAACCAGTTGAGCATACGCCATCCGCCTTCGTCAACGTCGTCTACGTCGTCGGGTTCTACGTCGTCTGGCTCCAGTTCCTCGTCGCAGCAAAATAATGTGGCTATGCGGTTTAGCAGCCAGCCCAGCTTTGGGCCAGCGGCGCCGGTACCAAGCTGCAGCAGCCACAGCAACAGCACTAGCAGCACCAGCGGCATTGGTAGCAGCACTGCCACAGATCGTCACCGGGAGCGGATTAGGCAGCAGGCCTGCGGCAAGCTACAGTTTGGCGAAGGTGCCGCTAATACGCATCAATTCACATCGGATGATCTAGAGGATTTGGGAGAGATTGGACGCGGCGCATTTGGTGCTGTAAATAAAATGGTATTCAAAAAACTGGACAAGGTAATGGCTGTGAAGCGCATACGGTCTACGGTAGATGAAAAGGAGCAGAAACAGCTACTCATGGACTTGGAGGTGGTTATGAAGTCAAATGAATGCATCTACATAGTGCAATTCTATGGGGCACTCTTCAAGGAGGGCGACTGCTGGATATGCATGGAGTTAATGGACACATCGTTGGATAAGTTCTACAAGTATATATTCGAGAAGAAGCAGCGACATATACCTGAATCCATATTGGCCAAGATCACGGTGGCCACAGTCAATGCCCTAAACTATTTAAAGGAGGAGCTCAAGATAATACATCGTGATGTTAAGCCGAGCAATATTCTGTTGCATCGTCGGGGCGATATTAAACTGTGTGATTTTGGCATCTCTGGGCAGCTAGTCGATTCGATAGCCAAGACCAAGGACGCGGGCTGCAGGCCGTACATGGCGGTAGGTTTGCAATCAGTACTTAATCTTCTTTATCAGCTCTGAATATGTGTGCTTTACAGCCGGAACGCATTGATCCGGAGCGGGCCAAGGGCTACGATGTGCGAAGCGATGTTTGGTCTCTGGGTATAACATTAATGGAGGTGGCCACAGGCAATTTCCCCTATCGTAAGTGGGATTCTGTGTTTGAGCAGTTGTGTCAGGTACTTGGACGTCATTGGAAAAGGTTTATCAATAGATATTATAATCCATATTTCTTGTAGGTTGTGCAGGGTGATCCGCCGCGTTTGCATACATCCTACAATGGCATGGAATTCTCAATGGAGTTTGTAGAGTTCGTTAACACTTGGTAAGAGTTGAATATACCCAGCAGATTGTCCGATTACTTATTCCAATTAATGTTCACAGCCTAATCAAGAAGGAGAGCGACAGACCCAAATATAGCCGACTGCTGCAGATGCCATTCATACGGAGAGGCGAGAATAGCCACACTGACGTCGCCGCCTATGTGGCTGATGTTCTCGAGTCAATGGAAAGCGATGGCATTACGCAGTTTACAACCAACCAGCCCGCGGAAAGTTAATCTGAAGCGAGTTAAACTAAAGTCATAAATTAACTAAGCAAAAACCAGTAGCAACAAAGGCAAATTATTAAAACTAAAGCAAACGCAAAAGAAAACCCAAAAAAAAAAAAAAAAAAAAAAAATACAAATATTGTTGTCTACTTTGTAGCATTCGTAGTAAACGTAGCGCATATTTTGTTAAAGTCAAAACAAAAACAACAGCGTGTAAAAAAAAGAGTAAATAGAAAAAAAAAGAAATCAAACAATTTGTAAAGTGCGTATATATATATTTTGTATTTTGTGAGTACTGTCTAGGAGGAGAAGTGTCTCAAAGTGTTTTTGTTTTTGTATTGTAGCGAAACATAAACCAATGCCTTTTCTCTTTAAGTTAAGTGAGCTAGCATTTGATGAATTGATGGCTTCTCTTTTTAATTGTTACCCGCAAAAGTGGCAAAAATGAAAAGCAATATTTGTAAAGATTTTACACACGCAAAGTAAATGGAAATTGTTACCTATGAAGCAAACTATATGAGAAATGCCAACTACAAAATAGCCATAAACAATAAGAAAATGCAACATTCAATATATAATTTATATATTTAATTTTTTTTCGATAACGAAATATTTTATGAACATTTGTTTTGCGCATGCAATTTAAGTAAAAGCTTTAAATATTTGCCAAGTGGCTGCATTTTTTATAAATTGTAGAGAAAATTTTGCAAATCGATACAAAATTATTTCAATAAAATATAATTATAATAATAATTAAAAACAAATCAACACACACATGCAGACCGACAACTACACAAGTTTTTATGCGTAGAAATTAGTTCGTAAGACATACAAGATATTTAGTAAAAAAAAAAAAAAAAAAAMAAAATACAATTGCAGCTTGTGAAATATATAAACAAAACAAAATAAATGTATTGTGCCTAAGTATAAAAACAAAACAAAAAGCGATATCAACTGAATACATAAACAATTTAATTAAATAATAATATGTAATACGCGGCAGTTAGTTTTTATGATATACCTTAGCCAAGCTTAAACACACACCACGCTTAAACACATGGCCATGCCACAGCCCTCTACACAAACACATGTGCACACACACACACACACACACATATACACACACATGTAATTGCACCGTCTAAGCTCCCGTCTCAACAAAAAACAAAAAGCAAAATATAACTTTGCCAATGTCTTTTCGATTAATATTTATGCAAGCGCCAATGTGAAAGGAAATGCAAAAGTTTATTTTGTAAACATATACATAAACTATATATTTATAGAATATGCATAATGAAGAGAGTGTAGAAAAAACAAGAAAAACCACAGCTACACACAGCGTCCAAACAAAAAAAAAAAAAAACAAAAAGAGTCTAATTAAATCCATAAAAAAAAATTAGACATTTGTGTGTGCCCGCAGCATATATATATTTATGTATGTATGTATGATATGTAAGCAATGCATATACATTTATTTACAGTTTTTATTCGTTACCTTTTTGTTGCTGCATATAATAAACGCATATACATACGCATTAAGCCGCAACAACAACAACAACAACTAGCAGCATAGTTGAATAATAAAAACACAAATATTTTTGTATTACGCGCGAAAGGAAAACAAGAAATGCTTTGCAATTTAATTTGCTCAGGCAGACAGAGGTTTATTTTAAAAACGATGCATATTTAAATATGTAATAGTATGTAAATTCGGCTAGCCGAAGCTTGTATACCCTCGCCACAATTATTCGATGGATCGGCACACGGTTTCCCTGCCTCCGCAGATGAAAACGAATTTGATCTCGAGTGGATTTTCACTAATTTAAGCTGATCTTGAATCGAATGGAATGGAAATTCAACGTGAAAAGGGTATGCATAAGGCAAACACAAATCATAATTACAACTAGGATAAACTATCACTAAATTTATATTTATAAACCAATAGAGTATTCGTACTGTCACATTTCCCTGCCGTAGAATCGTAGTTGATGCCTAATATCAATTTGTAGTATCAAGTGATGCATTGCATCTGTGTGTGTCTAACTAACTAAATGATTAATGATTAACGGCAATTGCAATTAGTGTGCATGTTGTTAATAACTGAGCTAATGCAATCGTTGAGTCGCGAGTCGTCATATTTTTGTTGACAATAAAACGTGTATAATTTGTTTAAATTATCAAATTATTGAATGTGTATATAGGGCATATACTACAAATACGATGATAGTTATATCTAATTGCTAACGTATAAAAATACACACACGTATATATATACATATATATAAATAGTAGATATATACATAGATATAGTACTATGCTGTCAGATCAGTTCACGTAGTAAAGGCATGGAATAAGAAGAAGAGTCCTCTTAAATATTAATTGGCTTTCAAATGATCCCATGGCCTTTTAACTAACACTTGCTTAATTTAAACAAAAGGAAAATCCTCTAAAAATTATAACTCTAAGTGAAAAACGCAACGTCCATGAAAAATGAAAAGAAAATATTCGCATACAATTTTTAAACATACTCAGCTTATCCTCAAGAGTCAGCTCAAACTGTGCTGTCTGCCTAGGAATTAAGCGAAGCTCGATATATGATATATCATATATATATATGTATTCTATATATATATTTACAGTATGCATCCTAGAGGACGGAGATGGGCTAAAACTTATTAAATGGGTCTCTACTGAACCCCAATCAGAGCTATTGCACTAAGTTTARGCAAAGCAACTAACTAACTATACAAAAATAACCAGCTTATAATTCTCTCCACTCGAGTCGAGACAAATCCAAATAAAGTGAAAACAAAACACCACAAGAGAAATTAAACATTAATAAAGTAATTAACAATAATTAATACTAATTATGGAATGAGTACACGTGCACGCACGGAAAACAAATTATGTTGTTAAATTTAACTCGAAGAATTTGTATAAAGCAACAAATGGAATAGTGAATAAATAATATATTTGAAAACTCTAAACTCTAATTGCGAGCCGCGCCTTTTTAATGTAGCTGACACCCATTCTTAAAATAGATAATGTCGAACCATTAATTAAACAATTAGTCAAGTCAAAACCAGCTCATAGCATGCAATGCTCTTTGAATTGCTGATGCCCTACAACTAGTGTCAATGGGGTGTATTGGCTTTGTTGGTAAGCTATGTAAGCTCTGATTAAGATAGACAGATATACATATTTTATAAAACTATCTTTATATATATATTTATTATAGAACTATATATTTTAGAAAATTCTGCAATTTTTTTAAATTTATTAGACCTTTTCTTTATTAGAGAATTTTTATTAATTTAAAATTTGTTAAATTTTTTTTTTTTTTTAATCTTTGGTTAAGTCTTTAGAAATATTTTTCAGAGAATTGAACAAATAACGAACGGAAATCGTGTTTGCTGTTTGAATACTTTTGACTACGACTGTCTATGCGCCAAAAACACATAAACATACATATATCTTGATATATATTTCATACAGTTTTGCGAGGGTAGTATAAGAAGTGGCCAACCTTTAAAACTTATTTATTATTAAATTCAATTAATTGATTTGATTTCAATTATTTTATTAGGGTCGATAACTTCTTAGAGTCCTCTCTGGCCTCAAATATATTGACGTGGAAATCAAACTCTCTAAATTTAGCTTGGAGTTGACTTATTATAAATATCGCTTATCCAAGTATATCTAAATTCACTATTTTAAAATCTCTACCAATCAATTATGGACTATCTGAAGATCTGTTTAGTTACATTCACTTTTAACATTTGCTTATGAGACATTTCGTGTTGTATTCTCGAGCCCAAGACAGAATAGTTTCGGTTGTCATGTTTTACCGGTTTGTGGAGTGCCCATGGCATATTATCGACTGGATGTACGCGACCCGCATAGCAATTTATCCATTTGCGTAGAGCCCGGCACGTGGTGGGCATAGATATCGGCGCATTAGAGAGCCCAAGTGCGTAATCTTTTCGACTACATATACAAATCTCAATGGGCCGAGCTGCCATAGGCCCGGGGTCTCAGTATTACTTGGAGCGTCTTACGCTTAACATATTTTTTATTTGATTCAATTCAATTCAATTCGATACGACTCGACCCGATTGCTGGCTCTTGGCAGTTCAACGACATGCTGGCCTGCATCATTCTGGTCAGCTGGCTGGCTTTGTTGTGGCTCTATTTTCTGTGGAGTCGCAGACGCTACTACAAGGCGGCCTGGCAGCTGCCTGGGCCTGTGGGCTGGCCCTTCATTGGCATGGGCCTGCAAATGATGAATCCGCAGAGTAAGTGACTCTAGATCTCTATCTGGGAGTTGCAATTAATTATAGTTTGCCTGCAGCCTTTCTGCAGTACATGGATGAACTTTCGCATAAGTATAAGGCGCCCTTCATCTCCTGGATGGGCACCAATTGTTTTCTCTATGTCAACGACCCACAGACCGTGGAGCAAATCTTTAATTCGACGCACTGCACCAACAAGGGTGATTTCTATCGCTTCATGAGCTCGGCCATTGGCGACGGACTCTTCACATCCAGCTGTGAGTACACTGCAAAAAACTGAAGAGCAATGGAAGTTACAAGAAATTTCCAGATACGTTTAATCTTAAAGAATATAAGCAGATTATAGAAACATTTCAAAATCAGTTCTGTAATACTTAAATTAACTTCGATTCCATCTTGAATTTACATACTTTATGTTAAATTTATTATAGTGCATCTGTATTCTGATTCGCAGCTCCACGCTGGCAGAAACATCGTCGACTTATCAACCCCGCCTTTGGTCGTCAGATCTTATCCAATTTTTTGCCCATTTTTAATGCCGAGGCGGATGTATTGCTCGAGAAACTGGATGTGGAGGGTGTGCAGCGGGGCAAAAGTCTCGAGATCTATGAAATACTTAAGAAAATTGTATTGGAGGCTGCGTGTCGTAAGTATAAGTGAAGCTATCTGTAATACAAGAGATTGACTTTACTTTGAAACAGAGACAACAATGGGCAAGAGAATGAATTTTCAGCACGATGGTTCCAAGGCCATCTTTGAGGCGTATAGTGGGTGAGTAAATAAAAAAAAAGACTTAAAAACTGAATAGAATCAGTTATGAGCTATATATATATATATGCTATTGAAAGAGGCTAAAATGAGGTCTTCTATAAATAGGAATGTGTGGGAGGGATTTTTATATGGACTGCATATATAATATATATTT